TGGAGAGCAGCAGGAGGGAGGAGATATATGAGCAACCTGGAGGACGAGCAGGACACTCAGCAGAGTGAGAGCAGAGAGCAGGAGGCATGGTGCAGGGAAAGGCTGGTTTAGAGACCACATAACATATGATAATAAGTACAGAGCTGCAGCTGCCTGGTATCAAAGACCACTCTCACAGGTCCATGTGAACTCTCTGGCCCCAGCAAAGGGGCAAAATGAGAGAGCAATTCTTCAAAGGGAAAATGTTATGAATCTTCTGGGAACTTAAATGGGAATGAAACTACAGGAGGGAAAAGTTCAGCGGTATCATACTGACTGCTCAGCTTGGGAGCTGTATTTCCAGCTTCACAGCTGGTCATGAATATTTCCTCTTTCCAACCCCTTCCTTGACTGGGTTTTGGATGGGGAAAAGTCCTTTCTATTCTCATTTTATCTATTCTCTATTCTCTATTTCTATTTCTATCCTCCAAGGTCTCAGGTAAGGAACACTCTACCTGCCCACTTGACCTCAGAGGTTGTGTGCATTTTTGAAGAGACCTTCCTTTTCTCACTGTTAGTGCCTAAGTCATTCAGGTTTCACAGCCCCCTGGTATTTGTGTGTGTTAATACAACACCCTTAACAGAGACTGCAGGATTTGATACAGATATAGAGCACTCTGTTAAAATAGTTCTGCCAAATGGGAATTGTTTGGCAGGTAGAATGTATTGACTTAAACCTCTGCTCATTCTTTACACAGGCCTCACGCTCTTGGTTCAGATGTCTGATCAAAGAAAGAATAATATAAATTATTTTTTTTTACAAATCAGATATTGCCCAGGCCCCTCCTCAAGTCAGCCCTTAGCACCATCAGGTGCAGCCACATCAGCAGAGCTCAGGCTGGCAGTGTCCTCGTGTCTCTGCTTGATTCCAGCACTGAGGATGTGTAACTGCAGTGGAAGCTGCTGCCACCCCTGGCTGGGGCTGTGGGGTGGGCAGGGTGTCCGTGGTAGGACCACTGTCTGCATGGGGACAGAATGTCCTTGGCTCTTAACAAAGGTCTGAGTTGATCCCAAGCAAATCATGGACATTAAAATCCTCAGACAGGGCCATTTCTGTAATAACAGCTAAATTATAGCCCATGCGCTGCAGGAAACCAAATTAGGGCTCCGTGTGCAGTATTTACTTGGGCAATTTCACTTAACCTTGCCATCTTTTAATTGCTTTTATATCTTGATTTAGTAATTTCTGGGGTTTTTTTTTAGTAGTTCTGTTTATTGAGGAACACCACAAGAGATGTGAACTGAGTAATTTTCTGTTTCTGCAGTTTTGCACTGTAATAGCAACAGAATCATCTGTAGGCAAATTCTTTAAACAATAAATATCTGTCTGTGGTTTGGATGTTTACTATTTTTGTAGCAGTTTATTTGCAGGACAGAGTGCCAGCTTCACCAGGAACTGAAGTGATTTGCAGTCAAAGCAGTGCTTTTGGATTTTGGAAACTTCTAGATTTTGTAAGAGACAAAATACAAAGCAGTAATGCAGGAAACATGTAAAATGGTAATTTATCAAGTTAAAGATCTCCATTTGATTGGAGAGGGAAATGCTGGACTGAATAAAAATTGCAAAAAACAATGTACTTCTAATGAAATATACTTCAGAGGAAAAATTATCCTATATTCCAGCCTGTTAGTGTCATGGAACAGATAATTGAATTCCTTGCTTTCTTGTCAATGTAGCAATATGAAACTCTGCTCAAAAGCTCAGGTAATCAACAGTTTTTATGCTGATCTTAATAACTTGTTCTTTAAAAACTGTTCTAATTACCATTCCTTCTGTCCTTACAAAGTCTTCACAAAAAGGTTGGGTTTTTATACTCACATTCCACATGTGAAGGAGCACAAAACCAAAACTTGCTCAAAAGACGATGCAGGCTTGTGCTTTATTTCCATGCAACACTTTTTGGAAAAAGTAGAAAAGTTTATTTTGAAGGAAATGAAGCCACTTAGTACCTCAAGAAGGGAAAGGAACAGAGCAAAGCTCATCTGTAGATTCGTCATTGTGGTGACTGCTCTGGGCCTTTTTGCAAAGTGCTATCGTGGTGGTGGGAGCAGAATCAGTTGTCAAAGGCAGTGTTTGCCATGCCAAAATTAACTTTTGGATAGCAGGAAAGTGAATTATGGAGTCCCTGATGGCAGCTACCTATGCCAATGCCACCCTGCTCCTGTGTACCTGGCGGGAAGAGGAATTGCTCTTGTTCTCTACCATCACTTTCAGGCTCAATAAAATGCAGCACATTCTTCAAAAGAAAGTTGAAAAGGATTTTCAATCACCACTTCAAATTTGGCTTCAAGCTGCCATAAACTGGAATATCCTAATGTAAATTGAGAATAGTTTGCTAAAGGTGGCAGTGGCACTTACACAGTTCCCTCCCATGCCCCAACTGTAAGAATTTTTTCTCTGTGTTTCTTTTGTTTAATGTTGTGTGTGCAGTTTTCTACAACAGTTTAACTGCTTTATTGGCAATGAGGAAGGACATAAAATCTGTTATTGCAAGTGAGGAAGAAACATATGCTCTATGCTTAATGTGCAGCTGGAAAATACACATTAAAATCATTTTTTAAAGCCCTTCACATTCAATGGCCTTTTATTTCCCTTCTTTTCTATATGCCCCTAACAATTGCTGGTGCTGCCATAGCTGGTTAGAGGATGGAGCTAATAATGCCAAGATTATGGGTTTGATCCCCGTGTGGGCTATTCATTTAAGAGTTGGACTTGTTGGGCCTTGTGGGTCCCTTCCAGCTCAGAAGATTCTGATTCTATGATTCTGAAAATGCGGCAGTGTTCGGGGAAGAGATAGGAGGAGCAGCTGAGGCTTCTTGGAGCTACAGCATGGACAAGCCAAAGGATAATTTCCTGCATGGGGACACCCCTGTGGGGTGGTAGAAATCAAGACATCGAACTCATCTGAATCAATGGGGTAAAAATAAGGATAAATGTGAGGCAGGGGAGCTCCCTAAACCAGCCCCACTAGCGAGGCCTCTGAGATGTGGAGCTGCCGATGAAAATTCAAGCACTGGGCAAAGCTGTGCAAGGGGACTGATGGCCAAGAGCCCCTGATCCTGCAAGGAACTGAAGTTCTGTGCTCCCCAAACACACTGCAGCTCACTGCCACAATCACTCACTGCTTGCCTCCCCTTGCTGCTCCAGCTTGCTTTAGGGAGGGTGAGACCTGCTGGCCACTTTCATATCAGCCCATAAAAATGCCCTTTTCCTCTCTGCTTCCAGATCATCTCCGGGTCCAGCATCTCGTGGGTGCTTTTAACCAGGCATTTCCCAGCTGATTATCAACAAACTGATAATGATCGCTGAGTCTTCAATGCCCAGATGTGCACAGATTTTCTCGCCCTGCAATTTGCTCAATATTCAGCAATATCAACCTTACAACTCAACACCCAAGCACTGCACTCCAATAATGCCCAGAAAGAAGCTAATGAGACAGGAATAAACCCAGCAAGTGGGGTGCTAGAGGAAAATGAGGTGCAGGAGCCAGGAAAAGCATTGCCTGGACAGAGCACAGGTACAGGCTCCTGAGCCACTCCTGCCTTTCCACGGTGCTTTGTTGCCACCCGATGGCCTCACACAAGGTTGCAAGAATGGGACTGGAAAACGTGAATTCTTCGAGATGTTCTGCGTGTCATTAAAACCACTGAGAGCTTTTGAAAGAAGCTTCTCAGATCTACATCTTTTCATGCCCTGCTGACACAAGTCTCTGCTTAAAGGGTGATAAATGATTTTTTTTTCCAGTGTGACAGCCATAATTGCAATATACAGAACACATGTATTTTATTCGTATTTAGAAGGAATTACACTTGTCTTTTGCAATTTCTCTCCTTAAGAGGACAAGACACCTAGAGGATAATGGCATTGTCAGGCCTGGGATGGTCAGTAAATGGTAATGCTGTGATGCTTCATCCGTCTAGCCTGACATTCCTCTGTTTGCCAAGATAAGCGCTGCATCTGCTCCTCACCCTGGCTCTGCTGACCACAGCAACACATCTGCCTTGTGTGAAATAATCACTGTTCTGTTTCAGGTATGGTGTTGAACCACAGGGATGCCCAGGAGGCACCCTGGACAACCCTGACCACTATTCACACATATTTTTTTCTCTTTACCCAATTCTTTTACTATTTCTGGAGCCTACCTTTCTCTGGCTTTTCCCAATCTTTCTCTACTCCAATCCTCTCTCTTTTAAATAATTCACCCGCAATTTTCTTCTCCCTCAAGGCTAAAAATAAATAAATTTTTCCTTCATGTATGCACAGCTTCGCATTTTGGACCCCCTGACTAGGTGATATTGGAGCTGTACATTGTCAGTGATGCTGTTGCTCTTGCAGAGCTCTGCTCCTTGGGAGGTTCCCAGTGCTCCCTCTAAACACTCCTGAAATCTGGCTGTTTCCCACATCACTCCTTCCAAAGAACTGGTGGAAGCCAGGCATCCCTCACGGTGTTGTCTGCAAGATTTGGTGGCCCCAGCATTGTGACCTGTCCTGTGCACAGATTGGGATGATACATCCACTTACTGCCCTTTTCAAAGAACGTGACTTCAGGGTCTGCATCTTTCCCCCTGCTCATTCCAGCTGGCTTAGCCACATAAGCAACCCTTACTGAGGTAAAAACACCGAGGCTGAAATGATTTGGGACTAGGGGACTGCTCTCCATGCACTGCTCTGGTGAGCTCTGCTGTGGACCTGATTTTCCGAGTCTGAGAGAGTTTTTCAGCCTGTCAGTGTCTGATCTGAAGAGGGAAAGTCTCTTGGGAAGAGATCAGACACTGATAGGGTGAAAAACTCTCTCAGACTCAGAAAATCAGGTCCACACTCTGCCTTGGGAGCACCAATGTGGCTGAAAAAGGGAGCTTGGGTCACCCTGTGCCCACTCCTGGGCAAGGACAGGAACTGGCAGCTGTCACCTTTACTTGCTTCTGGTGCTACAAAGAGGCTGTTTGTGTTCTGGGGTGCTCTAAAGTGCTTTTTGAATACACAGCTGGAGAACTTCTTCTGAGGGCATCACAACCACCATCAGGTCACATTGCTCAGCCTCTTCACTGCCCTGCAGGATCAGATGGGTAGGGGGCTCGGATTCTTTCTGAAAAACAAATCAAACACCCTCAGGCTGCTGAGTTAGTCTGCTTGTCCTCTTCCCCACAAAGTGTTCCTCCTTCCTGCTACAGCTGCTCATATACCCACAGCCACAGAAGCTGCTAACCTGCATTCTCACTTGAACTGGACATTGAAACATATTCCTGGGGAGCTTTTGATTGATTTCTCCTTAGCAAGTTGCTGAGAAGCTCAGAGAGGGTAGCAGGGGACACGGAGCAGTGCTGACAGGGGCACAGCTGTTTGGTTCAGGGAGCAGCTGCTTGGGCAGGGTCAGGCCCTGCCTCCCAAACCATTTCCCCAGAAGCACCAGGAGCATCTTCCCTGTCCAGGGCTCAGGGCCAAAGGCAGTGACAGCTGTGCAGCCAGTTCAGGGCTGCTGGTCCCTGTAGATCAGCTCCTCACACCGGAATGGGCAAGGCTTCCTGGGAATCTGCTTCTTCTGCCTGCCCATGCTCCTGTGAGTTCCCAGCACGCTAAAAAACCAATAAAGCACAGTAAAAAAAAGTTACCAGTGTGTCTGGCAGGACAGCAGCTGGGCAGCAGGCATATTGGAAGACTTTACTTATTTTCCAGGTAAGGAGAGGCAGGGTTAAAGCTGCCACAGCAAAGCCAGCAGAGGAGATGAGGGCAGTAACCAGCCACACAGATGTGTCACCTGGAAATGACAGAAACAGCAAAACTTCTCAGAGACACTGCAGGGACCGAGTGTTAGCATTCAGGAGCACACATAATCACGGGATGATAATATGAAGGTGCTTTATTGAAGAGCTCTGGGTGTCAGAGGTACACATACCCAAATCTGACCCGATTTGGTTTTGAGTTGAACATGTTTTATACTCTATTGTTATGCAACTTACATATTAATTATTAAACTTACATTGTTCTATTGTATGCATTGTTTTTACCCAAGCATGGATTTCTCGTGATCCCCCCTAGCCCCCTAACATTGTTCCTCATGTTCTTTAAACAATAATTATATCTAATCACATCTAACAATTGTATCATTTATCATATACTGATTACACAGGTGCAGTTTGACCTGGTCTTTAGCAAGCACAAGGCCTAACATTTCTCAGGGCCTACTTTTCCCAGGGCTTTCCAAACCTAACTTTCTTTCTAAATCCCCAAATTTTCTAAGATTTTAAGACCTTTTACTATCACAAGCACAAACTTCTCAGAGACACTGCAGGGCCCAAGCACTCACTGCAGTCAGCCTGAACCCTGTGTGGCTGCTCTTCCACCCACCCTGAGGAGATCCCTCCCCAGCAAACTCCAGTGTGGGGGACTGCTCTCCTGACTCCTGTTTTACCTCTCCCAAACTCAGGAGGTTCAGGGTGGAAACAAGAGGAAGAGCTTTGGGTGTGGAGGAGGAGGAGGAGGAGGAGGAGGAAGGCTGGCTCTTACCCTGTGCCCTCACACACTGTGTGGGGCTGAAGCTGCTGCTCCTGTTGATGGCCTTGACGTGTGTCTGAGCCTTCACACAGTACTCAGCTCCTGCCTCCATGGTGTCCAGGTGAACCACGGAGCTCACCACCTTCATCACCTTCTGCTGCACCTGCCACAGGCCCAGAGCAGAAAGCATCAGGGCCCAGGGCAAGGAGCTAACATCAAACAGCAGCTCTGCTACCGATGCCTTAAAGAATCTGGGAATGAAACCACACACACTGGAGATACCATCAGTACAGGAGGCAATATATGGAGGTTGGTCTTTATTGGAGGCCTCCAGGGGCAGATATGGAAGGTGTCCACACAAGCCCACCCCCACAGGCTGATTCACAAGTTTAGTAAACCAGCACAATTGACAAAAAGCACCAGTTAGGAGCACAAGTGGTGAGGCAACTCCCCCCCACCCAAGTTCAGGCCCTTCTAAATCCTCCCCCCTCAGTTGGAACTGAAGTTTGTTGGTGAAAATGTGTAAGAGCTGGATTTTGGCCTTGGTTCCCAGCCAAGGTAGGGTAGGGGCTTTGGAATATGTTTTGTCTTTCTGCCTATCAGGGCCGGGAAAAGGACTGGGAAAACTAGCTAGGAATGCAAAAATGGGCTACAGAGCTCCAAAAACGTGTGTAAAGAATACAGAGAGCATAGAAAAGAGAAAATGCAAAAAAATGATTTGGCATCACCATGATGCTTGTCCAGCGAGAAAAGGAGGGAGCAGCAGGGGATGTCTGAGGCCTGTGTGAGCAGAAGAAAAGAAGGATGAAAGCAGCAGAAAACAAGAAAGCACAGTGGAGTGCAGAATGAGCCCACACACTTCAGGAAGGGGATGGAAGGAGGAAGGTGTAAGCCAAAGAGTCTTGATGATTGTGCTGGGCCACAGCACTAGACCAGAACCTGCTGCCCTGCTAGGAGGGGGATGTCTGAGGTCTCATCTGAGGTTTTTCTTGGTGTGATGGATGCCAAAATCATCCCCATGCAGTGCTGGGGGTGAAAAAGCTGTGCCAGAGGGCTCAGAGAGGGGATGGACTGGGCTAGGGAGGGCTGAGTGAATTTGGTGTGTGTTTAACACGCTCCAGCAAAGCTTGAACAGCAGGTGAGCAGCAGGACAGGATTTTATTGCCAGAAAGAGGTCTGTATTCATGGCTAGCAAAATGAATTTGCTGTTTCCAGTGTCCCCAGCCATGAGAGGATGGGTAACATCTCCCCAGCTGCTCCTCCTCCTGTGCTGCAGATGCAAACCTGTTCTCACAGAGGGCCTGATCAGCCTCCAGCTCCACACACATATGGAAACCTCCAACAAGCCAGGAGGGCTCTCCTGGCAGGGCAAGTCCTTCCCACCATCAAAATAGCCTTCTCCACAGAAACCTGATATGGAGGGACATCCATTTGAAAAGATTTCAAGGACAAAATTAGGTCTATGACTGTCTGCTCTTGCAACAACATCAAATGAGACACGTCAAATGTAAAAATAGTCTTAAAAATAGTAAGAGTCCCAGCATAGAGCTTGTATTGACCAGCAAAACTAATGGTTGCAACAGTCCAATTGGTAGAAAGTATTCTGAAATTTGGGATTAATGTTGAGGTCATTAAGATCACATACTGAAGAAGATTTAATATTTTATTAATAAAACACAATCAGATACAGACCTATTGATTGTTTTTAAGGTGTCAGCCCATGGACAAAGCTGAGCTAATTTAGCTGGATTTTACAGTGGGCAGTCCTGCTACTGGTGGCTCCTTCTAAAGACTTTTGTATGAGTAAATTGCTAATTGAGAATGGCAGGAAGTCATGGTGGGGACTCACATATTAGCAGAGGTGATCAGGAATTGAAATGAAAACTGATACCTGCTAGTAGTACTAAAAACCCACTTCACAATAGTAAAGATGACAGACAACTGTGAAGAACAGCAGGAGGATCTGGGAATAAAGCAACAAGTGCAATTCAACACCGATAAATGTGGAATTGTGCCCATGAGAATTTTTCTCCTACACTTTCACAGCATCCTCCATCAGAAACAGGAACCTGGGGTTCAGGTTCCATGGGACTGTCAGCTCTGTGGCAGCCACATTAACAATTGCTGGAGAGACGAGGGAGTGGGAAGACTTGTTTTGTTTTACAGTGCTAACACAGAGTGTTCCTGCACCTTGGACTCTGCAGGTTTCTCCCTGCCCACCCTGGTAAGGACAACCCGAAGAACCCTGTGAGGGCTTCCACAGGGAGCAGCTAAGTAGCCTGGGAGTCCTTGGCCTGGAGAAGGATACAGAATATGAAACTAATAGAGTGGTAGGGAAAGTGAATGGGGAATAATTGTTCTCTCTCTCATCCCCAAACCAAGGCTGAGACTGCATAACAGTTAAGATGCAGAATTCCTCATTGCAGGAAGTTGTACAAACTAGAAGTTTACATAGATTGAATGCCAGAACAGATAAATCAATAGAATAAAAATCCATCAAGGACTACTAATGCTGGAATTTCTGACTCAGAAAACTGAGAAAAACTCATCAGTACCTCAGTGTGACACCTTAATCATGGTCTGAGTAGACCAGATGATGTTCAGGAGAAGTCAGCTTTAGCAAACACCTTTAGCTCCTGATTTCTGGTTCCTAGCTCTAGCTGAGGTATGTGAGGGGATTGCTTTTCCCAGAGATGGAAATGTGGAAAGAACAAACAAGCTTTTCCATGAGGTGAGGTGGCACAAACCCACTCCAGGCAGGTCCTTCAGCCCCACAGCAGGAGGCTGAAGGCACAGCCCCTGGCAGACAGGCTCTGGGCAATGTCTGTGTGCACCCCTCAGGGCACTCTGTTATTGCCTAACATCTGAGGGTAACACTCACCCTGCTCTCCTGGCCCTTCTTCCAGTAGAGCAGCCGGAACTGGAAGGAGGGTCCCATGTCTGCCAGCTCCACCAGTAAATGGTGCCCCTCCACCACGACCCTCAGCAGGGGTTGGGTCAGGGAAGCTGCCAACACAGAGAGCACCATTATCACCCAGAGACAGCCCTGAAATCCCCCCTTTTGCCCAGACAGGAGAAGAGAAGAGGCTGCCACCACCAGTGGAGTACCATTAATCTGCAAGAACAGCCGGCTGCTTCAGTGGGGCAGAAACCTCTCTGCTCTCCCTCCCTGTGAGTCCAAGAGCAGGAGCAGACTTCCAGCAGGAGAAGGACCATGACTGCTATTGCAAATGGGGATTTGGCAACAGCTGAGCTGCACAGAACTTGAAAGACTTTGAATTTTCTCCAGTGGAGGAGCTGCCTGGCCTGAGGGTACCATGAGAGCAGCTGCAGCAGAAGCAGCTGGGCCACAGAAGCTGGGACACCAGATCAGGTCAGCTCTTGTGCTCCGGGGCACGAGCTCAGCTCTGACACACAGAACAGGAGCTGAGAAACCACTGCTTTTCATGGGAATTTTGGCAGTTATTCAAACATGAAGGAAAAAACATTATGAGCCTCAGGGTAATTCACATGAATCCTGATTTCCTTTTAGTGTCTGCATGGTTTTAGACAGACTTGGGCTGATGATCTGCCGTGACTTCAGGTCTGGCAAATATATGCAAGTAAATCTTGAGGCGATTTGCTTCCTGCTTACTTTGATATTCAAAGCTTGGTTTTGTCTGGGATTCTGCTGAGAAGAATATTAGTGAAAAAATGAGAATCAATTGAGCATAGATGAAACTGCACTGTACATTTATGAACTGGGAAGTTCAAGGCAGTACAGAGATCATGTTTGCACTATTTATCTGTGCCATTATTCACACTTATCTATGCCATTTTTTACCACTCTGCTGCAGCTGAAACCCCCTTCAACTTCTTTGCTTTCAAGAAAGGGAGTGATGCATAGTGCCATATAGATGAGATGCTCTTAATAGAATTTGCTCTTACATCCAGTGAATTGCCACTAATACTGAGCAATATGAAAACATAAAATCCAACCATGTACATGATGAGTGTGCCACAAATGGGAGCCCTGGAAATCTACTTTGTACTTTTAAATGAAAAGCTGAAAAAAAAAAGGTAAAAATCTCAGCACCACGTCTCAAAATTGAAAAGAAACTGTTGTCTGTTATAGCTGTTATAACTGTTATCATCTGGAGCATTAAAAGCAAATATTGTGCTAATGGATTAAGAAAAGGACATTTCAAGATGCAGCTTCTAAACAAACAGGAGCATTTCTATTTAGCTCTGTGCTGGCACACTGGATACCAACTAACTGAATGTTGAGAAGTGAAGAAGGAAGGCTGACTAAATGGTTTGCTTTAGGAAGATCTTTTCAAAGTGTTTCGCATGTGTTATCATACATAGAAATGTGTTTAATATGTGCTTCTACCCCTTTGGCTCTGTGCAGACTGGAGGAGCTGTGGGCTGTGCTGCTGTGAGCTCCTTACAGAACCCATGGGCTGTGTTTGGATCCCTTAGCTCCTCTCAGACTCACTGCCAGCCCTCCTCAGAGCTGTGACAGCAGAGCAGTAAAAATGCATAAGGACAAGGGCTTACAGTGACTTTTCTTTCTCTTTTAAACATCTGTCACATTTCCATTGAATCCCAAAGCAAGCTGTAGCCTCTGAACCATCACAGCCCAGCCAGAAGACTCTTTTGGGGTCCCTGAGACACAGGACTAGTTGTCAAATACTTCACTGAACCATGAGAAGCTGCTGCTTTTGTTCCTGCCAGTCTCAGGGATGTCCTTCCCCTGTCTCTGCCTGACAGTGCAGTCTGTGCCTCCACAGCTGCTGGAAAAGGGAAGGATTTTTTTACCTAAAGCATTCTCCAGACCATGTTCCCACACAAAGGGAGACATTCACCAACTTAGGTGTCACTTCTGATGGTGCTGCTTTGACCAAGACCTCCGTGTGGGTGAGGACTGCTCCCACATGAGGTAAAAAATAACTTCTAAAGTTGGATGAATTTTTACTATTGTGTCAGTTCTGGTGTAGACAATTTTTTCCCTGGCTAAAGCTGATGGGTGCTGCCCATCCCAGACTGAGAGCTGCAGTCTAACAGTGACCTCAGCAGAGCTTTCCCACCACAGTTTTTGTTACTGAAAGCAGTTGACTAAATGGCAGAGGAAATTATTCCAGAGAAATCCTGGAAGGAGTACACTCATTTTAGGCTGTAACATGATCCTTGGGTTGAGCTGGGCCTCAGGCTTTGCAGGACTTGGAAGGACATGGAGAAAACATCCTGCATTTCTAGGATGAAATGAATGCTGTGGGTTCCAGCTTTCTCTCCTCTTCTGAGGTTACTTCACAGATCTGACACCATGGGAAGAAGGAACCATGGACTGGGATTTTCAGGACAGTACAGGGCAGACAGAGCATGACAGGGCTGTTTTCTAGAGTAAAAGCTCCCTTAGGATCAGGTTCTGGACCTCTTAGAGGTGACTACAAGGCTTGAATTAAATGACAGCAAGCCTAGTTGGTCAGAAACCTCTAAATTTAGGGGTAAGAATGACCAGCCTGCAAAAAGAAATTCCTGCAGTCATCTTGCTTATCTTTGAAACCCTTGAAATTCAAGCCCAGATGAATTTGGCTCTGCTTTGGGATGGACTCATGTCCAAGAATATTATCTGAGAAGTGAAACCCCCCAACCCAGTGTGAGGGGAGCTGAGAAGCAGGGGGTGCTCGGTGTGGGCTCTGTGTGCCACGCAGTGGGCACAAACAAGCACCTCAGGGTACCTCAACACCCAGCTCTGGCATGTGAACACCAAAGATGTCATTTAGGGGCAGGACGCACTCGTGGCACGGTTGAAGAAGCCCTTCGTGGTGCCCCACTGGGACCTGGTGGCACCAAGATCTGCCCTGACACGCAGCTTGTAGGCCACGGTGGCTGAGATGTCCTCTGTGATGTTGCACACCGTGGCTGTGGTGAGGGAACACTCCGAGATGGGGATCCAGCTCCCGTTGGCGTATTCCCTCTCGTATTCCCTGCGGAGAAGAGGAAGCAGACAGGCAGCAGCCTGGCAGGAGCTCTGTCTGCCCAGCTAAGGCTGCTTGTGGCTTCTTTCCAGGTGAAACCTGGACTGGGATGCACTGGGGAGGGAACACCACAGGTGTTTGGAACCTGTGTGGGTGTGGTTTAGGTCTCAGCTGGAGAAAATCAGCCTGAGCTGAGTTTGTGAGACAAATGCAGCACGAAACTGTGGGAGGTGGGGACAGCCAACGCTGGGTTGGTGCATCAAGCCCTGCCCACTCATCTGACTTGATCATCCCCAATTCCAAAGCTGTATTGGAATAAAAGTCAGAGCTCAAGATGTATCAGAAAACTCCTGTGGTGTGTGTCAAATGTTTGAAAGGTTTGCAAGAAATAAAGCTCAATGTTTTCTCCTTCCTCTTCTAAATAAAATGTTGTAAACCTTCTTAACTTTTGAATCCTTGGGTAGAGGCAGATTTCTTATATGGAATTGATGCACACTCAGGTTTCTATTAGCCTGCAAACTGTCCCAGAATTGGAACAAAAGGAATTTTCCCCCCACTTCTCATTAACAGTGCTAAAGTGTCAAACTTCTCTTAGGATCGTGAACTGAATGTGATCAAGACATCCAAAAATTTAGAACTTAAATTGAGATAAACAATGCTCAAAAAGCAAAAAGAATGAAAAAAACGAGTAGTTACCCCTGAAACTCAACTGAGTATCTCACAGTTGCTCCCTGGACGATCACAGGACTCCAAGTTAAGAAGTGTTTCATGTTGGTTGAAAGAATGGAGATATTCTGAGGTGCTGGCAACAAAGCATCTCCTCCTAAAATTCCTAGCAAAAGAAAGGAAAAAAAAAATTGTATTTACTGGAAAAAAAAAAGAAAAAGAAAAAGAAAAGCTTAGAACAGAGAAAACTGTTTTTCATCAGAAATACACATGCTTCATTTCAGTACAGTCATTTCAGTGTCTGAAGTATTTTACAGAGCAGAAGAAAGGACAGAGCAGCTCAGTTAAAGCATTCCTTTGCCTTATTTCAGAGTTTTTCATTGTATCACTAAACCAGCTTGACCAAGACCTCTGTGTGAGTGAGGACTGCTTCCTCATGAAGTATTGAATAACTTCCAAAGTTGGATGGATTTTTAATATTGGGTCAGTTCTGGTTTAGGACAGACACCTTCTTGCCTGGCTAAAGCTGACGGGTCTGACAGTGATCTCAGCAGAGCTTTCCCCACAGTTTTTGTGGTGGGAGGAAAAGGCCGAGCTCTCCAATTGGATTTAACAAAGCCAAGTAACAGACTTGGCTCTGTTGCACTCCACAAACTGCTCCAAGAAGGTTGTGGTTCCAAATGTGCTGCTCCTTTCCAGGCTGGATTCGCTGCTGTGGGAGATCCCAGCTCCTTCCACACTGCAGGGTTCTGACAGTGGAAGGGGCTGTTTGCTGTGATATAGAATAAACTGATTCCACGCTCTATAACCGGAATTATTTTCTCTGAGGTCTCCACAGCATGGCTTGGGGTGGTGGTTGATTTTACCCTGGGCTATCTCGATGTAAAATCCTTGGCAATGTTTGGAGCACAGGAGGCAGGATTCCCCACGGACACATCCAGCACTGCACTGTGGGAATTTATCAGACTTCTGCTTCTTTCCAGTCCCAGGAAAATCCCATTCTCTCTGCTCAGCAGGGAATGGCTCCCAAAGAGCCACCGGGAGGGGGGAATGGATGGGCTGGTTTCTATCAACCCACCTGTGAGCACTCTCCCCAAAACAAGGTAAATGTGCTATCACAATGTGCTACTTAAAGATTAACTTTTGATTAAATTTATTTCACTTAATCATGTTGGTCATCCAATAGTCTTTAACTGCCACTAAAAAGGGTGTTTTCTTCTGAGCCATTTTTACACAGTTAACCAGTAAATTGTCAGTTGTTCTACCCAGGATCAAAACCAGGCTGACAAGACCATGAGCAATGTTTTCTAAAGCATTGGAACAATATCTGTCTAATTTTCTGTATCATATCTTTATAAAATCACTAATGATGTGAGGAACTATTATGCCAGCTCTCTTATGATTCTTTGGCACAAATCATACAGGTCTGTTGACACAATGCTCAGCTGCTCTTTGAAATAAAATTCAGGTTTCTCTGGGATGAGAAATTTTCTTCCTTATCCTTTAGAAAACAGAAGGGTCACTCTCTGCCACAGCAGCAGTTCAGGTAGGCTGAGGGTCCATACACTCAGAGCACTGTAGTCAAGGCATTTTTAGTCTTTAAAAAATGAGAAAAAGCAAAGTTTTTAGTGACCTTCCCACTGCAGCAGAATCACAGAACGAACTAGGTTGGAAAAGAAAAGCATAACCACCCATTTGTCTCTTGTGCTCTCCACACTTCTCAGCCTTCAGATTTCTTGCTACTTTCCCTTGGGTGCCATGTTTTGTTTTGGAATTTTGCAGACCTGAGTGTGAATTCCACACTAGATTTCATTTCCATGAACAAGCACTGATTCTCTGCAGGGCTCACAGACACAACGAAGCTCCAGGTCTGAGCAGGGGTGAACTAGAACTGAAGGTTTTCCTGTTTTTTCAAGTCCTGACTTCAGGAAATTTTTGATATAAACTTTTTGGCATTGAATAGCACTAAATCCTATATTATTAAACTGTCTAGAAACCTATTTTAAAAGCAGAGAGTTCTGAATTGGGCTATCAGTCTTTTAATGGCCCGAGGGTTATTTCCCGTCTGGCGGGACCAATCTTCATTTCCTGGCTATGCTTGGCTTTGTGCACTCTTTTCTTGTCAAAACCAGAGAGTCTTCTACTGGCACAGTGACTGCCACCTCACTTCAGCTGAACCACGAAAGTTCATACAGAAATTAGGATTCTCTCCTGCTTTCAGTAGGAAAAAACTCTGTACCCAATGCTACATGCCTCTAGAAAAGCAGTTCACTGATTTTCTGTTTGGCATTTTATATGCTGAAAGTTGTAGTTTGGAGGACAGGTTCATGCTTTTCCAGAGTACTTTTGATTTGATAATCCTGTGTCATAGCCAAGCAAATTATATTTGTGGTTTCTCCCACCCATCTGTTGCAGCAGCCCACAAAGCAATTGTAACAAATACAAGTTTAACAGTGGGAGGAAAGACAATTCTAGGTTATATAAACAGCACTGAGTACAAACAGTGAAGTGCTTTGTTTGAATGCTGAAATAATCCACCAGCTCTGCTTTGTTCATTTTGAAAGAAGAGGAAACAATAATCATCCAAAGTGCAGGAGACAACTGGACAGAGAGCACAGGCAGGACCCAGAGGGCTGAGAGCCCAGGGCTGCCACATTTCCATCTGGATTTGGATTCACCAGCAGCTTCACAGGAAAAGCCAAACTACACTCATTCAAGCCAGGGTAGTGACTCTCACCCTAATGTCTCCAGTCATGCCAAAGAGATGGCATTTTCTCTGTAAATAGTGTTTTTGTCTCCTACCCTATCAGCACTATATTCTATTTAATGAGTTACACAGAGAATACATTTCGATTTAGAATGGTGATGACCCTTTTAATTTAGTATTTTTATTCTCTTTGTGTTAGAGAATTACAATTAAGAAAAAACCATGGTCAAGTCTAGTACGTTCGTCTGTCTTACTTTTCAATTTAAAATACCTTATATAAACCTTGATAAAGTTCCATTCCTCTGGGATAGATTTTAATATCCTTTTTGCTCTGTGAATATAGAACAATATAATATTTCCCCATTTCTTGCTGTTACTTCATCACTACTATCGCCACTACTTACTGCTGAGTGTATGTGAACACTATAAACATATTAATACAATTACCTTTTTATTCCTAATATTATCTCCTTTCAGGGATTCAACAGGCAGCAACTTCAGACTTGGTGCTGCACAATGTTCAGGAGTGCTTTATCTGGCATATCCCTTAAAATTTTATATATAAGGCTGAGAAATCCTTCCTGGTGTGGTAACAAGCATTGCCTTTTTGAGTTCCAGTCATGGTGTTGTTTAATCTTCTTTTGCTAATCTGGAGGGCAACAATGCTACCAGCTTTCTGTATCTTTCAGCATGGTCTGTATTCCATCTCATTTTATTTCCATTTGAGGAAATTTCAGTGGAGGGGAATCTGACAAGGGAATTCTGAATTCTAAACACTAGAACATCTATGTCTAGAACATCCTGAGAAGATAAAGGCATTTCTTTTTTAGCTAAATATTGAAAATGAAAGCCATACATCTCTAAGTCCTAAAAATAGCAATTCAAACAAAGATAATAAATTATGCTAAAATCTTTTTGTCTAGAACTCCAGCCTGCAGGCTCTGGGGACATCCCTCCCTCATCTGCTGATTACTCAAACTCACAGCAAAAGGCAAGACCCTGCTACATCCCCTTGGCTTTTCCTGTCCCCAGCACCCCAAATCAAACCCAGACGGCTGGGCTGGACAGGAACATGCTCTTCTGACCTGGTGTCTGCTCTGCACAGCCACAGGGGCAGCTGAGGGCAGAAACATTCAACCAAATAAATGTTCTCTGCTCAGAAAGAAGACTGGGACATGAATTTTTTGTATTTCAGGTCGAGGCCAAGAGAAAGGCAGTGTAAGTTATCCCACCTTCCCCTCCCACTCCCTGTCACAGTGTGAGAGGCTGGCAGTCACAGGCAGCAGGCTCCTGCCTGGAAACAGCACTCAGGTAGCCAGGCCTTCAGCAAAAACATAGCAAAAACAACCCCACATTTCTTTAAAGAATAGTTCCCCAGCTGTGTCATCTTTTAAAACACAATCACCATGATCTTCCCTATTGCACAGAGCAAACTTTCCACTTGATGCTGTCACTGGATTCTGTCTGAGCATCTAAGAACTATAAATAGCAAAGCAGCTGTAAAATTATTTTTTCTGAGGCAGAGGAAAAAAAATGGAGCACAAGACAACCAGAATGTTGTTGGCACAAGCTAAAATGGCACATTTGGGAAACCTGGACCAGGGAAAACCCAAGCACTCTGGCAAGCCATGTTTGCTTTGTAGAGGACTGCCAATGCAAACACTGGGATGCAGTCAGGAGATTTGAGACCAAGCTCCTCTGGATGGGTCTGGGGTGTAGCATTTGCTTGGAGAAGCAGATTGCCAGTTGCACAGCCTCCTTCCAGGATAAAGGAGACCCTCAGAGAAGTGATTTGAGCTATCAGTTAGCAGTTTATATCCTTCCTCTCTGACCCTGCATCCTCTCCAGAGGCAGAGCATCCCTGTGCTCAGTGATCAGCATTGGAAGAAGAGAGTTCAGCTTCTCACAGAACAGCAAAAGAGCAGAGACAAATACAGCATCACTTCAATTCCTTCCAACTGAAACTTCCCTTTAGAGTTCAGAAATTACCTGCAGAACTGAATATACAGGTTGTCTTTTTCTGATATTTGCTTTTTCTGATATTCATTTTAGAAAAAGAATAAAAATTCAGGATCACCTGACCTTGTTCTCCTTTGGCTTCAGTGCTGCTGAGGCATATTGAACAGAAGGACAAAAGAATTTGTTACTCACAGCCTCTCTGTCTTCTGACTGGAGTCAGTGAAGCTCTTTCAGCCATTTACCTGAGAGATTTGGTGCACTCAGAGCACAGAGGAGGAAGCAGGTGAGCTCTGGTGGCATTTTGCTCAGGTTTTCCCCACGTTCACACCCCTTTGCACATCCCAGCAGCTTCCCCTCCCAGCCAGGGAGCCTTTTCTGAGCCAGCCATGGTGGGCAGCCAGTGGAGACTCCAGAGCAGAGTGAAACTCCTCCTGCAAAGAGGCACAGATGTTTTTTGGGAGGGTGCAGCTGCAGGGAGTGCCCGGGTAATCGCTGCCAGCAGTTCTGTGCAGGTCTGTGCAGCTCTCTGCTGGATGGGGCAACCCTGCTCCACTCCCTGAGATTACACGGCTTAAACAGGCCTGGGAAGGAGGAAAAAGGATATGTTGGGTTTTTCCATACAGCTCTAAGTGCTCACTCCTCTGCTCAGCCCCAAACTAGATAAATCCTGATGCCTCCAAGCACCAGGAAGGTTTCCTCATATTCCCATGGCATGTCTTATGTCCTTGCACAAAGGGCTGGCACCTCTGGGCTGATGGAAGGGACCTGTGTCCTCCAATTGATCTCCAATGCCACTCTGGCTGTGTTGGCTGTGTGATGAGCAGGAAATTGTGTTTCCAGGTCTGATTTGGTGCAGGCACAGGTATCCCATGGTTTTTCCATCTTCCAGAGTCCACTGCTTTCCCCCTCACCTGGAGTGAAGGCAGGGTTTTCATCTGGATGACCTGAGAGCCCAAACCACGCCAGGCTCCAGCAGCAGCAGCTCCCTTTGTGCTCCAGGCTGGGTCCTTCAGAGGCCAAGGGAAAGGCAAAGTTTAGGGGGAAGCTCCTCATGTTCTGCAAAAGGTCATTTAAATGAAATGCAAGCCTGTCTGTACAGATAAGGTAAGCAAAGGCCAAATCCCACCAAATCCCACCAAATCCCACCAAATCCCACCAAATGCTTTTAGCTCTGATGAAAGCAAATATTAGAAACCTCCCTTCTAAACTACTTCCTCCTTCTCACCATTTGCCACCTTAAAAGGGGCTTTCAGTTCTCAAAAATCTGTTTTCTCCCTAAGACCTTTTAATGGCAAATATAGGACTTCTGTTTTCAGTGGTGGACAAAAGGGATCTGTCAAAACTAGCCCTGTACATATTTTCCAAGGAAAAAAGGGGTGGGGTTTTTTGATTTATGAAAGAATAAAAATAATATTCAGTTAAGCAAAAGTCTCCAGATCCTTAGATGTGCAGGAGCAGCACAATCAAAAATCCCCATGTTTTCTCCTTCTTTCCATCATCTCTCTTTTTCCTTTCATTTCTTCCTTCCTTTGCTTTCTTACCTCCTCTCTTCCCTTTCCTCCTTTCTCTCCTTCCTCTCACTTCCCTTCTCCTTCCATCCCTACCCCTGTTCCCCTCCTGCATCCCTCCCAATCTCCCTTTTCTTCCTCCTCTCCATCTCTGGGACAGGCTGAGAGGTCTCTGAGCACTTCCCAAACCTGGGCATGTTTTCCTTCCATGGCAGAAGGATGTTCTCTGAAACACCTTTCATGTAATCTTTTATCTTCTTGCTCTTCATCATCCCAATTTCATCCAATATCTGTTCCCAATCTCTTGCTACTTTTATCCAATATCTCTGCTGATAACCAAAAGGTGGCTGTTGTGGTGAGTGACTTTTATTGTTGTGAAAATCATGAGGTCCAAGAGGAAAACATGGATGTGTTTAACAGTATTGGCAACAGGACAATGTGCTTTTTGCTGGGAAGTAAAAGAAAGATTTGCAGAAGGAAAGCAGAATTTACTTGTCAGTGGGAAAAGCCACCAATTTGTTCACTTGTTGTACCAAGAAATTATAAATAAGGCAACTCTGAAGTATTGTTCAGTTAGAGCTGAATGGCAATGTCTTGTTCTTCCCTAGGTTGTTCTTGTGGTGCCATAAACCTGTGGATGACTTAAATATTAAATATATTTATATATATTAAACATGATTAAATATTCAGCCATAAGCTGAGAAGAATCTCAGAGCCTGTATAATGTGTAAGAGTTGTGCCTCACATCATCCACTTTATTACTCAAACAGATGCACAGAAAAGGGTTTTTATGAACTGTTTTCACAGTTTGCATGGAATTTACTGGAATCAAATCCACAGCCACTTTGGAAAGTTTTGCTTTCCAAAGATTTCTGCCTTTCTGTGAGTGAGTCAGACAACTTTTCATTTTCAAGGAGTGGGGGGAAGATGAATGCAGGCCCATTTCCTAATTAATCAGTGATTAGCAATGAAAGGGAGAGCGGGTCTGCCATAACAATGAGGATTGCGGCTGCCCTGAGTTATCAGCAAGGTTCCAAAACAAAAGCTGTGGTAACACTGTATTATATTTCCTGCCTTAATTACACCCATCAAATGTGGTGTGTGTAAAGAAAACTCGAGGTGGAAGCTGAAGGGCTGAAGGACAGCAGGCTTGGAATAGAGGGGATTATTTAGATTGCAGCAGCAATAAAAGTGGCAAAACACCTTCTGCCATTTCCCCCTGTTCTGAAATGCTGTATGGAAACACATGGTTTTATAGAGATAAAATGAACTCTTCCAGCTGGGCTGTTTTGCTTTCAGAACTGTACCAGTTCTACAGGTCTTTTTTGAAATTGCTGAAACAAACATTTTCATAACTTGTCCTTATCAATTATGGTCCCAATTCTGTCCTGTGAAATATTTCAATGTTATTCAGCATGCGTTTCTAAAGATAAAAGGTACTAAACATGTATTTCTAAAGATAAACATCTGTCTGATTATCTTTGTTTTGCAATTCTTGCCTTGCATTTCAAGTTATTCAGGCCAGTAATTGCACCAGTAAACCAGGATGCTGTGGAATTGCTGTGGAATCCATGCCTAATTCAGTTTGGGTTGGCCATGTGAGGTTATTTCCAAGGAAAATGGATTGAAGGAACAGAAAAGAGAGGACACAGGTGACAGTTTGAAAGGAAAGGTCTCAGTTATTTGAGTAGCAGCTGGTCAGGGTTTTATACAACTCCCTATGGCATCCTCTGTTATACACAGATATCCAGGTGGATGTTAAAACATTTAAATAACTGATTTATTTGTGTGTGTACTGTGATATGCTTGAGATTCCAATCTGTGAGAGGACCTAAATAAATGTGGAAAATATCAAAAAATATTTTATCTGGACCAAATCACTGAGGGAGAAATCCCCTGTGATTAGGAGAAGAGTTGAAGCCTTGCAAATATGACCAGTGTGTGTAGAAGTTGTGTCCTCTGGAGACTTCTCCATGACCTTGTTGTTAGTGCAGAGCCTTTGCTGAAGGATTTACCTACATTGCAAAACCATTGTGTGGGAGTGGAGGGAAGGGAAAACCATATTTTGGGAGGCAGCATGTGTCTGGAAACAGGTCTGGGAACTGCTCTCACAGTTATTATTTCACAACAATAAAAGTCACTCACCACAACAGCCACCTTTTGGTTATCAGCAGAGATATTGGATAAAAGTAGCAAGAGATTGGGAACAGATATTGGATGAAATTGGGATGATGAAGAGCAAGAAGATAAAAGATTACATGAAAGGTGTTTCAGAGAACATCCTTCTGCCATGGAAGGAAAACATGCCCAGGTTTGGGAAGTGTTCAGAGACCTCTCAGCCTGTCCCAGAGATGGAGAGGAGGAAGAAAAGGGAGACTGGGAGGGATGCAGGAGGGGAACAGAGGTAGGGATGGAAGGAGAAGGGAAGTGAGAGGAAGGAGAGAAAGGAGGAAAGGGAAGAGCGGAGGTAAGAAAGCAAAGGAAGGAAGAAGTGAAAGGAAAAAGAGAGATGATGGAAAGAAGGAGAAAACGTGGGGATTTTTGATTGTGCTGCTCCTGCACATCTGAGGATCTGGAGACTTTTGCTTAACTGAATATTATTATAATATAAAAACCCCACCCCTTTTTTCCTTGGAAAATATGTACTCACAGTTTCCAACCAGTCTCTTTTTGGAGACATTAGTGACTGCAGTGCTGCTGGGAAGCAGCTGAAGGGTTAATTTGGCTGAGCTGGTTGGGAGTGGGCTGATTCAGATCCTGCAACTGGTTATTTGGGCAAAGCAAAGTTCAGGGAATTTATGGATCAGCATAAATGAGCTGGGAGGTTCCTACTGCTGGGAGATGACCTGGCCACACCAGAGGTCCCTGCCCTGAACCACGAGCTGGGGACAAGGCTGGCACAGGAAAATAAATTTCCAGAGGGAGTAGTAGTGTAATAAAACACAGTGCTGAGTTCTTCCAAGAGAAATTATAGTGCTCCCTGAGAGTAACTCGTTGCTGTGTACCTAGAAAGCCTTTTTTAAACTCTTTAAAGGGAAGAAGTTTGGTCAGGACAGACAATGGATCCCTAAGCCAGCTCTTTAAATTCAGGAATTTTAAATGTTAACTTAAATACATGGCTGGAAAAGCTGCAGTGCTGTGTCTTTACAGTTGTTTATAGGCTTGGGCATAAAGGTATCCTGGAGCTTTCTCCAAAGTGAGACACTAATGGCAAATATTTGCTTTTTGGGTACTAAGGAATGAGGTGCTCAGTTAAATAAGTGCACTCAGGAAGAGGCAGTCACATCCCTTTTCCCATGGTTAGACAAATAGCAAAATGACCTGTTTTACCCATCCAACTCTCCCTCAAGCCTCTGATCTCTCCTCTTTCAATGCCTCCAATCATGCAGATATTAATTTGCTGCTTCCACTGAATGGCAGCCTGTAACATGGAGAAGATGAGTACAAGAGCTGCTGCTGCTGTGCTGGAAATGGCATTACCTGACTGCCTGATTTTCTCCTTTGCTCTCCCAACAAGCATTTGCTCCATGAGAATTAGAGATCCAGCACAGGACACAGGACAGAGTGGGCTCTGCAGTTCACTCATCTCTCAATATGCAGACCTTGTCAATGGGCTAAACTAAATAATTCTGTTTGAAAACAGGGCCAAAAGCTCTTTTAGGTTCATGTGATCACTGCCAAGTCTGATCTCCTTTCTTGTTATGGATGGAGTCCCTGGAATCAGAGTGAAAAAGCCAGAAGAAACACTCATTTATCTCATTTTTAAAATCCCAAAGGTGCTCCAAGGCCTAA